TTACCATGGAGACCTAGCTCCACAGCAGTAGTTACCATGGAGATCGAACTAGCATGTTTGAAGAGAGACTCCTTTGTGACACTGACAACTCTGACTTTAGGCTCAACAGATCTGCTGAGCCACCAATCTCTCTGTAGTTCAGCCCTCAGATGTACACCTGTCCATAAACACACCTGTCTTTCGGTGCGCAGCAGGCTGCAGATGTTGGGGTTTCCCAGGCCGGCTGCCAGGGGCTTCACCACGGCGACGGCAACATCTCTGCCCACAGAAGGTGGGAAACAACTGAGCACGCTCACATGAGCCGCCCCACCGGACAGTGATTGGTCCATGGCCAGCCAATCAGAGCTCACCTGGACACCTGAGACAGAGAAGGTGAAACATTCTGTTGTTTCAACAGTCAAACATCAATCAGCTGTTTCTGACACATTAACTGCAGAGCGACAAGTTTGTGTGTCTGATTCCTGAATCTGTGACCTTCAGCTGAAACCTGGAAACTGATTAACTGTCAGCAGTCAGCGTAAAATCTGTCTACTTATGAAGCACCTGTAGAACAACGACAACAAAGTGCTGTCCCCGGAAAATACAAGAAAACCTAAAGACCACAAAAAAGACTTGAATCAAAGTGACTCATTTCATAACAGGCACAACACGACACGTACTGGAAGTCAAGTCAGTGTGTTGAGCTCTACAACCACAGACATGAATCCAAGGAGCACCACTGTCAACGATAACGCCTTGTATCAGTCCACAGCCGCTCAAATGTTTGAGTCAATCAAAGGAGAATGGAGAGGAAAGCTTGCTATGTTATCTGGACCAACAAGCCAGTTCAAGAAAATCCTGAGTCCATTCACATGACACAGCTCGTTGCCTCTGTTTCATACTGTACAGATGTCAGACTACAGCTCATGGTGGCAGCAGAGAGCACTGTGGGAGCTTAGCTGGCGACGGGACAGAGACTCTGAGGAGGTTGATGGTTTCTGAAGGAGCTGTAGTTTACCATTTAGACCTGTTAACGGGGACACTGGGCTGTTTCAGCGACAAACGTTATGTGTCTGTGGCTAAACATGTCTTTGTGTGTCATTCATGTTAATGATTAATCAATAATTACTGGATAATGCAGCTGACTATCCATCCATCATCTCTACACCTTAATCCTCACTAGGGTGGTGGGGGGCGGAGTCTATCCCAGCTGACTCAGGGTGAAGACAGGTTCACCTGGACAGGTAATCAGTCAATCACAGGGCTACACTTAGAGACAGACAACCAAGCACACTCACATTCACACCTACAGACAATTTAGAATCACCAATTAAACTCAGCATGTTTCTGGACTGTGGGAGGAACCCGGAGAACCTGGAGAGAACCCACGCTGCACGGGAAGAACATGGAGACTCCACGCAGAAAGATCCCGGGTGTCCTCACCGGGACGCCAACCGGCAACCTTCTTGCTGCGAGGCAACAGTGCTAACCAACTGCGCCACCTTGCAGCCTGCAGCCCCCAGTTGACTATTATTTGTTTGAATTGTTTTACATTTGCATCCACAATCTGAGNGGTCAGAGGTCAGTACCCAGGAAGGCGTCGACCAGCAAGCTGATGCCTTTTATGGCTCTGAAGAAGATTTTTGGCAGCTGAACGTCTCCTCTGAACGCTTCATCCAGCGAGTCACCAACAAGCTCCACCGGGTTACTGCAGAACCAGAGAGACGTCTCATGTCCAGGTACAGGGACGGAAACAAGTCTCTGAGAGATCTGAGGACATTTTACCTGAACAGGTGCAGGAACCTGAACCAGGTGTGAGGGATTCGCTCGTCGTCCAGGTCAGCAGGTATCAGAGCAGCATCTTCATCTGGGACTTTAAATGGAGGGAAGGACGGACCGAAGTTCAGCAGCAGCAGCCTAGACGCACAACACCAAGACAACACCAGTAACACACCAGTAACACACCAGTAACAGTACCAGTAACAGCACCAGCTGCAGGACAGCGCTGACAGTTTGAACCTGGAGGTTAAAGCTGCAACGACGCGGCTCCACTGCTGCACCACTGCAGCCTGATGCCTCCAGCTGCTCAACATCTGTCTGCACATCTGCCACAGAGAGCGAGACGGAAAACAGCGAGCGCAAGACAGCAGCCAAACCTCAAGGAGCACCGCCACAGACAGGTCCGAGACAACACCTGCACACAGGTAAGACAGACAGGTGAGAGGAACCGCCTGCAAAACTGACAGGTGCAAGACACAGATGATGATAAATAAGGAGGCAGGGACAGGGCTCACCTGCAGCAGTGGGTGGAGCCAGCATGGCATGGTTGATGTGGAGCAGGAAGTGCAGCAGAGTCTCCCAGGTATCTCTGCTCATGGTAGCGTTCTCTCTGGCCAGTGACTGAACGGCATGCAGCACCTGCTGACAGAGCGACAGGTAGACCGGACTCTGCTGGTCCCACCTGGACAGAAACAGACTGGACAGGTGTCGCAGGATCTTCTGCACATACAGGTTGGGCTCTCTGCTGATTGGTGGAGGGGTGGAGTCTTTCGGGGAACCCAAGGCCATCAGCCAATCAGTGTAGACGTCCACACAGAGTTTGACTGTGTCTCTGTCCAATGGGAGAGTAAGACCATAACACAGGACCTCCATCGTCCACTTCACCTGCGTGCACAGATCCACACATTACTCAGGTGTATTTTCTCTGTTATCTGCACAGAACCCTGAACAGAAGGTTTACACCTGAGATTAAGCCTGAACTCTGAGTTTCAGCTTGAACTCAAGATTAAGGCCTGAGTTTAGAGTTTTAACCTGAGTCCATGTGGTGTCTGTTACCTGTGCAGGTACTCTGCAGTCAAAGTATTAACAGGCCACCACCAGAGTTCTGTATCACAAAGAAAGTTGAACAAATCCAGACTTTAACTGGACCTGACAAAACCTGAACCCAGTCGGAGGTGTCAGGTACCAGCAGGTGTTCATCAGCGTTCTTAGTGAACCGGGTTTTCTTCTCCAGACTCTCATTAAAGGAGGCGTTTAACGCGTCATGTGACTCTCCTGCAGTGAACAGACCAATCAGGTTCCTCCTGCTCCAGCCAGCAGCTTCTTCTACTGAGAACAATGAGGAACATCAAGAACTGTGGCTTTAAAGAGCTGCTGCTGGAGATGATGCAGGACAGGAAGCTACAGTGTCGTGTTTAATGGAAAAGTCAGGATTTACAAGATAAAACATCACCTGAAACCAAAAATACAGCAACAAACAAAAATCACAAAATAATCCACATTGAGGAAAAACAGAAACAAGGTTTGCTTACTGAGGATCCAGGAAATCGTTGGATGTGTTGGGTTTTCATGTATATTTTTGTTTCAACCTCCATATTTATTAATGCTGTCGGAACTCAGCCCTCATATTTATTATCATCAGTCGTAATTGGAACAATAAAGTCGTGTTTTTGATGATTTGTTAATGTTTTATTCACTAATATTTAAATTAGTCAGGTAACCATAAATAACTACCGGCTCTGAACAATGTTTGAACTTGTTTAGTTAATTATAACGCAGATCTCACTTTCCACTGGAAGCACTTGTTCTGTATAAAGAACCGACTCGACTGATTAAAAGACAAACTGTTGATGTTAAACTTTCTCTTCTGTTGTGAAACAGAAATAATTTCTGTGGTTGTGAAAAGAGAAAATAAATCCGTGACTTTAGGAAATGAAATAAAGACGTCCAGCGTGTTGAAGTCAGTTTGTTTTAGAGAAGCAGAGAAAATAACCGTGTCGTACCTGCACAGGTGAGTCCAGCTCAGTCGTGTCAACACCTGTGAAGACAAACAGTGAAATCAGTCGGTCGCTCTGAAAGTCGCAGCTCTGAACTTGAAGTCACCTCCCGCTCTGAGACTCTCCTCCCTCCGCTGTGACTGTCAGGCTGCAGCAGCAGTTTACAGTCAACACAGACCGACTCGGCAACCTGCTGACGGAAGCTGTTCTACAAACAAACAGGACAGAACCTGCAGAACCTGCAGAGAGCGTTTGATCAACAGTGACAGCCAGAAAACATCCATCACCCACCTTCTGGTGCTGATCCAGACCAGATCTCAGAACCAGAACCTGAACTCTGGGTTTAAACCTAAACTTTAACTGGACAGCTTCAGTTTACACCTAAACACGGAGCTTTTGGTTCAGGAACAGGTGATAACAATAAGTTTGGATAAAGGAGAAGTTTTTCATCTTTACTAACCAGGGTCGCCCCCTGCTGGCTGTTAGAGAGAACCAAGGTTTGTGGCTCAGATGGGTTCTGATGAGACAGACGCAGCTTTTTGGATCTGTAGCTGATCGAGCCCTGAGCCCAGCCGTCACGTCACGGACCACAAACAAAACAGAACACAAAGAACGTTCTGGTTCTAGAGAAACCACAACATCAACAAACACTGTCCAATCACAGCACAGACGGAAAACACATGTCCAATACAACACAGAGTGATAGCAGCGACATATAGCATTTAGCTGCAGCTACAGATACTGGACAGAACCAGTCATATCCAGTAGAACCACAACAGTTCGAGTAGTAATAAAAACAACAGACGAGACTTTACTTAAAATCAAATTTTATGTGTAGTTTCCCTTTTAATCAAAAACAGCACAAGTTTCACATTCAGAGTGAAAATTAAAAAAAACAAATCAACAGACAGACAGGTGGCAGTGCTCGTCTCCATGACAACCACAGCCCACCACCACCAGGAGGGGGCGTTGATCGAAAGCAACAATGTGATTGGTTTAGGTGAGACGTTTTGTTTCGTTTAGCAGCAAAGAGGAGAGCTGTGCTGATTGGCTGGCAGTAGATTAAAAGAAAAAAAAACACACACAAAAAAAAAAGACATGACATGAAAACTACGGCAGCCTGGAGAGTCCAAACATCAGAGACGGGCCTAGCTGGGTCAGTACGGCTGTTTCTTGATGAATCTGGTGAACATGGCGAAGGCAGCGATGGGTTTATCGGATGGAACCATGTGACCAGAACCCTGCAGGACAACCAAAAGATAAAAAAACAGGAATCACATGATCAGCAACATGAGCAGAGCTCCGCCCCCAAATATGACATCACCGAGAATCAACTGATGAAGGCTTGTACCTTCACAGTAAGGAAGGCGATGTTGTCAAATTCTTTGACGAAACCTCCGACCTGCCGACCATCGACGTCATCATAGAGCCACGGACGCCTCTGGACCTCCACCTGAGAGACAGACAGGTTAACACACCTGAGACACACTAAGGTTACCATAACACCTGGAGAATAGCAGAGACAGAAACAATTATTGATAATTGATTAATAAAACATCATCTACCTGCTGCTGCAGAGACTCAACAAACCACTCGTCCCCCATGAAGTTACAGGCCATGTCCACGTCCCCGTTATACACCAAGATCCTGTACTTCTGCACAGAGAACACAACACACCTGGATCAACAGGACACGCCCATAAAATGCCTCTATCAGTAGGACACTGTCTGAAAAAATCAACTCATTCTGATGCCATGCAAATGTCAACATCAATAGCCTTATAAGATCAAGGAGTCTACGGGTATCGAAGNGACTGTGGTTGTAGGTGGTTTGTTGGTTGCCTTGGACACATTTGCTGCTTTTAATCGTGTGTTGAGTGGAGGAGGGGATGCAGTGGAGGAAGTTGCTACTGAGCATGCACTGGGCATGCTCAGTATGTTGACTGGGGTGGGCGGAGCACTACCAGAACGAGGCCGGGAGATACCTGAGAACAGAAAACAGGTGTACCAGTGTTCTGTTAATGCCAGCCAAATCCACTAATCAGATAGGGCAGGGCTGGGCTCACCATAAGGGGGGAGGCGATCTCTGAATGGGTTTCTGGTCACAGCAACGCCTAGGAGGAGACAAGGTAGAACATCTGAAAATCCATTGTCAATAACGGTAGAGCAGAACAGGTTCTAGTTCTGGTCCTGCTACAGTATCTGCTTTGATTAGCTAATTGACTTGATGGACCTGATCGGTTTGGGCTTACTGAGAGAAGGCAGCCGGTCTCTGACATGCAGCCTTGTTGCCAGTCCTGAAGAAACACAAACAGACATTTACTGAAACACCATTAAGCACAACTAAAGCAACGATCATGGCAACTACAGCTGAAACGAGAGCAATAAAAAAAGCAGAAACAACAACAGCAACACCATCAGAGGCATTCAAAGTAGCAACAGCAACAGCAGCAACAGCAGCAACATTAGCAACAACAGCGATAGCAACAGCAGCAACAGCAGCAACAGCGATAGCAACAACAGCGATAGCAACAACAGCGATAGCAACAAAAGCAATCAAAGTAGCAACAACTGCAACACACCCATACCTTCAACTATGTGTATAACTGACACACTGGTGTAGAAGTAATGTTTGTATTTACCAGCGTTTGGCAGCAGCTGCTCCGTTTGCTCCCTGTTGTCCACAGTCACACCTGCAGAAACAAAAACAGCAACAACAGCTTTTATTCTTCGGTGTATAAATGACCAGTAAGTGTGACCACATTTATTTTAAATGGATTCTGTTTTTATTTTCTAGCCCTGTGTGGTGTCTGCAGGAAGAAGAGTTAAAACTCAGAGAGGCAGGTCCAGGACTCTGGTGGGGTCAGGGGTCAGAGGTCAGAGGTCAGAGGTCAGTACCCAGGAAGGCGTCGACCAGCAAGCTGATGCCTTTTATGGCTCTGAAGAAGATTTTTGGCAGCTGAACGTCTCCTCTGAACGCTTCATCCAGCGAGTCACCAACAAGCTCCACCGGGTTACTGCAGAACCAGAGAGACGTCTCATGTCCAGGTACAGGGACGGAAACAAGTCTCTGAGAGATCTGAGGACATTTTACCTGAACAGGTGCAGGAACCTGAACCAGGTGTGAGGGATTCGCTCGTCGTCCAGGTCAGCAGGTATCAGAGCAGCATCTTCATCTGGGACTTTAAATGGAGGGAAGGACGGACCGAAGTTCAGCAGCAGCAGCCTAGACGCACAACACCAAGACAACACCAGTAACACACCAGTAACACACCAGTAACAGTACCAGTAACAGCACCAGCTGCAGGACAGCGCTGACAGTTTGAACCTGGAGGTTAAAGCTGCAACGACGCGGCTCCACTGCTGCACCACTGCAGCCTGATGCCTCCAGCTGCTCAACATCTGTCTGCACATCTGCCACAGAGAGCGAGACGGAAAACAGCGAGCGCAAGACAGCAGCCAAACCTCAAGGAGCACCGCCACAGACAGGTCCGAGACAACACCTGCACACAGGTAAGACAGACAGGTGAGAGGAACCGCCTGCAAAACTGACAGGTGCAAGACACAGATGATGATAAATAAGGAGGCAGGGACAGGGCTCACCTGCAGCAGTGGGTGGAGCCAGCATGGCATGGTTGATGTGGAGCAGGAAGTGCAGCAGAGTCTCCCAGGTATCTCTGCTCATGGTAGCGTTCTCTCTGGCCAGTGACTGAACGGCATGCAGCACCTGCTGACAGAGCGACAGGTAGACCGGACTCTGCTGGTCCCACCTGGACAGAAACAGACTGGACAGGTGTCGCAGGATCTTCTGCACATACAGGTTGGGCTCTCTGCTGATTGGTGGAGGGGTGGAGTCTTTCGGGGAACCCAAGGCCATCAGCCAATCAGTGTAGACGTCCACACAGAGTTTGACTGTGTCTCTGTCCAATGGGAGAGTAAGACCATAACACAGGACCTCCATCGTCCACTTCACCTGCGTGCACAGATCCACACATTACTCAGGTGTATTTTCTCTGTTATCTGCACAGAACCCTGAACAGAAGGTTAACACCTGAGATTAAGCCTGAACTCTGAGTTTCAGCTTGAACTCAAGATTAAGGCCTGAGTTTAGAGTTTTAACCTGAGTCCATGTGGTGTCTGTTACCTGTGCAGGTACTCTGCAGTCAAAGTATTAACAGGCCACCAGCAGAGTTCTGTATCACAAAGAAAGTTGAACAAATCCAGACTTTAACTGGACCTGACAAAACCTGAACCCAGTCGGAGGTGTCAGGTACCAGCAGGTGTTCATCAGCGTTCTTAGTGAACCGGGTTTTCTTCTCCAGACTCTCATTAAAGGAGGCGTTTAACGCGTCATGTGACTCTCCTGCAGTGAACAGACCAATCAGGTTCCTCCTGCTCCAGCCAGCAGCTTCTTCTACTGAGAACAATGAGGAACATCAAGAACTGTGGCTTTAAAGAGCTGCTGCTGGAGATGATGCAGGACAGGAAGCTGCTGGAGACCTGCTCATCATGTGGTCACTATGGATGGTCCTGATCAATGCAGCTGCTTATTGGTCACTGACAGCTGGTTAGTGATCACTGACGGCTGATTATTGATCACAGACGGCTGATTATTGATCACCGACGGCTGATTATTGATCACTGACAGCTGGTTATTGATAACTGACACCTGGTTATTGATCACTGATAGCTGGTTATTGATCACTGACAGCTGATTATTGATCACTAACAGCTGGTTATTGATCATTGACAGGTTATTGAAGCTGTTAAACCTTAAACCTCATCTATTTACCCCTGATGTCGTACTGAAGCTTATTTAGGTCTGACTCTGTCCCACGAGGCAGGAAATCTGCAGCATCAGTTATCATGGAGACCTAGCTCCGCAGCATCAGTTACCATGGAGACATAGCTCCGCAGCATCAGTTACCATGGAGACCTAGCTCCGCAGCATCAGTTACCATGGAGACCTAGCTCCACAGCATCAGTTACCATGGAGACCTAGCTCCGCAGTATCAGTTACCATGGAGACCTAGCTCCGCAGCATC